TATAACGTAAACGAAAAGCCGGTAATTAGAGAAGCTCTCTCTGAAAGCGGAACGGACACGCAAACAGCGTGAGAGAGGGATTGAGCCGATCCTTTGACACGGCTATTTATCCGACTGCGGTTCGCGATATTTAAAACGTACCGACGTTGTCGAGTCCATTGTACAAGGCGATGTTTATTTCATCTCTGCAGGGTTCATTAATTTCGCTTGCATTCTGCAAGAGCCCTTTACGTAATTAGCCGACGGAGGGACATAAGAACAAAAGATGCAGTTACGGTCGAACGGCTGCGAGATAAACGTGACCTTAAATTTAGCGTCGCGTTATTTTTCGACAGACGATTGCACGGCAATAACTGTCAAGTGGGACTTATAAATTGAATTTTTTTGCTCTCCAACAATGTGCCGACGCGTATTGCGTCGATAGGAATAACCGTAGTCGGTAAATAAATGCTTCTACATCCAAAGCTTAAGCGATTAAGAGCCGGTCGCGCCGGCAATCTAGATTTAGTGAGTTTGCTCGATGATTCGCTATCTCCGATTAAATTATTTTTCGTTCCAACTGCGATATATAATAGAGAAGTAAAGAAGTTATCTAGCTAAAGTTAGCGTTATGCGACGTTACGTTGCACCAAAAAATTGTCGCAAAAATAGCTTACATAAATTTGTTATAATTTACTTCTCTTTTCTTATAATTCTATTCACAGCGGAGAAACGAAATTTATTTACTCGAAATCGGAATCGTTTAATAATGTAGATGCAGCCAGCATTTTGAGTTTAATCCTGCGAGTAGGTGATATCGCGCTGAAATCTCTCTCTCTCTCTCTCTCTCTCTCTCTCTCTCTCTCTCTCTCTCTCTCTCTCTCTTTCTCTCGACAAGTTGTAGTAATGACGCGCTTTGACAGAGTCGCCGGCTTAATTTCGAGCGTGCAGGACACACGGCCCCTAAATTGGCTTAATGGATGTAAGTAGGAGCGAATAGTCGCAGCGGCGGGGCGACGAAGACGGGCAAGAATGACGTCGGCGTCGTCACGTCGCATTCAGGGAGAGATTGCGACCTCCCGCCCGCCCGAACACTTTCAAGGCGCGATTTACAGAGCAGAAATAAATCTACGTGCGCGAGCGCTGTTATCTCACGAGATTTGGTAGAACGCCGGAGTCTGCAAATGGCAGAATTAGGATTGACAAATTCGGCTGCCGTCCTCACGGGATGTACTTTCCATATTAGAAATAGTCAGTGATTTTCTTAGCACCACTCGCTGATGCGACGGTAATAGCGTTAACATTTTACCGTAGAAGTGGATACACTTCTTCTTCCGAGAGTTTGTATTCCTGTTAAATGTCATCCAGCGTATCGATTTCAAACTTCGGACGATTAATTTATCAATCTCGAATCTGAAGAAAAATATGAAAATAAAATGTGCGAGGAAAGCGATAAATTAAACAATACGTTCGACATTTTTGTTTTACAAAATTTTCACTTTTCGCTAATATCGTCTCATCTGTTTACAGACGAAAGCAGGACGAGGTGCAGGTCCTCGAAGAAACAATACGGATGCGTTCGGAAAAACAGAAGAAGGCGGGGGTAGAGCTGAACGCCACGTGCCACATATGCCTGAAGACCAAGTTTGCCGATGGCATCGGCCACATCTGCAACTACTGCGACATCCGGTGCTGCGCACGCTGCGGCGGAAAGGTCACTCTACGGTCAAGCAAGGTAAGAGGACTCGAAAATGGCGCGCGCAAATAAAGCGACCGGAAAAATCGTGATGCCCGATTGATTGAATCGTCGCAAGTATCTCTTCTGACGGCCGACGGTTCTACCTTTCTTTTCTCGTATTACATTGCTGCGCCTGGCATATGTAGAGAAGCCTTTCAAAGGCCTTGACGTAAAAAGATCACACGGAAAATAAAAATAGAAAGATATCCATTGGTGTATGATGTGAGGTAATCGAGATGATATCAATGCATTCGATATGAAACGATACGGCCTCGTTTAAGCGAGATTTCTCGACGGTGGCGTAGAGAAATTATTTTAATGGAAAAAAAATAAAAATATATAAAATAAAAAATTTATAATGCGACAGTAGTTGTTTGAAGTAACGTCTAAAGTGTGGAGAATAAACCTATTAGGCCCGCACTGCTGTTGGAAGGAACGGCGAAAGTAGAATACAACGGTGAAACATCTGTGTTGTATCTTAATTTTATAAATTTGATTCGTAGCTCTTTTTATTCTTCATTTTGGTTGTGTTTTAGTAAATAAGCGGCATATGTGAACAACAAATCCAATATAAAATTATCGAATTCTCATAAATTTCACGATACGAGCGATTGGTTGTAGATGTGAAAATATGGCACATAAATCAATACTCTCGTGATGAAGAGCACAACTCGAAATTGCAGTCCATTAGACGCATGAATCGTACGGATACATTTACCTTTTGCATCCGGAAATATTAGACGTGCACGATGTGTTCCGCGAATTAGCCTCATCATCGGAACTTTCGTCCTCGCCGTCGTGTTCTCGTGGAACATCTCTCTTTCATATTTCACGGGATTTTGACGTGCACGAATGCGGGACGAGCCATTTCGCCAGTTAGTCGGAAGTTTCGCGATTATCTCATTATGTACGCACGTACGTACGTAACGCGACGACGGAGATAATCGGCGCGGAGGTAACTTATGATGCGCGGCCGAATCTAGCGCGGATAATGCGTTATCGAAGCGCGATGGGCGGACAAGGATTACGGTGTGTCGGCGTAAATGTCAGCTTCCCGAAAACAATTAAGAGCAGTCGCGCCGTAAAAGACGACAGATAACCGGGATGGTATCTCGTCGGGGGCGTGCGCGTACTGAAATACGCCGAAATAATTGACCTATAGCGGCGCGTCGCCCCCATCTCCGTGCCAGTACACCAATTAACCCTTATCGCGAATGTATATACCGTCGGTGGGCGTAATGCCGTCACTAAATAGCGGCCGCCGCCGCCGCCGCCGCCACGCGAATATGTTCTCTCCCACCATTTACATCGGCAGTAGTATTTTCTGCTCCTACCCGCGCAATTTCGACCGGATTCTCATCGACGGAGATGAAGGATTAATGTCCGGTATTAGGCGGATCGAGCTAGACGATGAATATCGGCGGCGGGTGTGCGCGCGCGCGCGCGCGCGAGAGAGAGCTTTTAAAACTTTGTTATTACCCGCGCCGCGCCGCATTCCGGGGTGAGATTTTCGCAAATAGAAACTAACACTCGTCGAATTTGCCGTTCCCTCTAACGCGATTATCTTCTTTCGCAAATATTATTCTTATTCCCGCGGCGGTTATATTCTATTTTCCGCGCGGCATTACAATATCGATTCGGCATATCCGAATCGTGTCCTCTTTCTGGCATAATCCTCGCGCGCTAAATAATATAGAAATAACACAAGATTTTATCGATTTTCGCACGGCGGAGTGTAACTGTGTACCACTTGGTATCATGTTCAAACACAAAAACGTGCGGCATGTAATCATTCAACTGTGGGAGATTGGGCATTTATAGGCACGTATATAAAGCCGGCAGTCACAATATATACACGCAATATGTGCGAATATATAAATATAGATTAGCGTTTCAATAAATAGAAATATAATATTAGACTTTCCAGCCCTTATTATTTTTAGCCTACAACTCTGATTTTATCGATCACCGTATCTTCTGGTTTTATTTAATGACCCAGTTTCGTGACAGATAAATTACAGATTTAATATACTCAAATAATTATCAAAAGGAAATCCAGATAATATTTCTGGATATGTGCAAATTACACGTTCATACGTTCTTGTAATATTTCGTGTAAAATCTCTCTATAGCGCGCGGACACATAATGGCTTTTATCTTTCGCGAACATCTCTGCATCTTTCATCCCTTTCAGCGCGGAGACAAAAACTCCATTTTCCGGATTATTAAAAGTAATCCGAGCGCTGATCAATGACGCTCGTGAGCGCGTCCGCGTAAAATTTAACGGCGCACAGCACAGAAATGTCGGGGCGCGCATAAACGCAGCGGGTTAGAGCGGCACGGAGGGGCGGCGGGGTGTTTTGTAGTAAAGCCCGGGGTTGCACACGTGCGCGCACGCTACGCACGCACGTTTCCGTCATGGCCACACGCAAGTACAATGACAAACGTCATCGTGAGCGAGCGGCGTTACGGCATCATCGATCCGCGATACGCGAAACGACGGTATCCGAGACGAAGAAGAGGATCTTCTCTTTCGTTCTCCAAACGAGCGGCGGTTCTCTTTTCCGCGCACGGCCGTTTAATTGCGTCCCGCCGGAAAAACAACGAAATTACAGCTATCTGATGCCTCGATTTGCGGCGAATCGATATCGGCCGCCGTATAATACGCAACCATCGCGATCGCGTTCGTTACGTCTGTCGTCGTCGTCGCCGTCGTCGCCGCCGCCGCCGCCGCCGCCGCCGCCGCCGCCGCCGCCGCCGCCGCCGCCTCCACCCAACGCCACGGTTTCTTTCTTTCCGTTCTGCTCTTTTTTCCATTGTTGCGGCCTGGACTCTGCGTGGGAGCCTATGAATGGGGCGCGTCCCTGCGTGACGTCACTCGCGGCGCTGGCTCACATGGAGGGAGTGAGAGCTGGGGGTTGGGAACACGGGGGTGTCGGAGGAGTGGGTGGCGGCGGGTGGACGGCGAGACGTTAGGTGGTGTGCGGGGGGTACATGACGCAACATATTGATCTAAGTTTGGTAGGGAGGGTGCGTGGTGGTGAAGCACGGAGGTGGAGAAGGCGAACGAGGGTGGCACGCGAGAAGGGGGGGGGAGGGCTCGAATAAAATATACGCCATCCGTCAAATCTACGCTCTTCTGGGATTTCTCAACGCGCGTACAGTTTCACTCGAGGCGTGCGTTGTTCTCCCGATATCGCGGCGGCATCAGGGGGACGCGGCGGATAGACGTTGAGTCTTTGACGTCTGCTGCTGCTCTGCGCTGCGTCCGTGTGAGATTGAGGCGGCTGTGGGAGCAGACGGTGGTGACGGGGGTTGCGGAGGGGAGAGTCGGGGTATATCGCAAAGAAAGATGAAAGAATAACAAGATCTGGGACATCATGGACAGGCGTTGCACGGTCTGCAATGGCAGATGCGACTCGAAGATTGCCGTCAGATTGTTGAGCAATATTGTTTTTTTTTTTTGAAGAAACGTCAAGTCTTTTTGGATTGCTCCTTGAAATGAATCCCAAATGAAGCCAAGAACGTTTCGACTTATTTGCGGAATCTTGTTTATTTATGGAGCTCATCTTTCATCAAGACCACGTTCTATTACGATCAGAATTCGGCCTTTATCCTAATTAAATTATTTGTTATTTGTGCCGTTTTCGCAAGCGAATTAATTGAAAAAGGAATTGGCTGTATTCTTTCGACTCTTGCAAATTTCGGGTTTTTGGATAATATGTAGCTTCTTAGACACGCAACATTCTTAGATATGCATCAGAAGCGTTCTTGAAACAATCTGATATTTACATGACAATTGGTATCTGCGCGGAAAACGACGTAATAAAAATTTTAATGGCTAGAATGAACGTCGTTTATGAGCCATTCTGCAAACATTTCTGCAATCTACGCTTCAGACAGCAGCATCTTCGCTGAAAATTATTGAGCATATTCGACTATATTCTTGACGATATACTCCGCCTGAAATGCGACTTACACACGCTCGCCGTACGAAATTGGTTGTGTCGAATACTTTATTACCGCAGCTACGGGTTGTAACATCGAGAAATCGCCCCTGGGAGATTCTATACTGTTTACTAGGAAGGATCGGGGTAGTTTCGAGAATATACGGGAACGATGCAAGGTGCACATATGTACCGTTAAAATACTTGTCGATTTCTTCGCTTCCGTCGTTACGCGCGAAGCTTAAATCTTCATTCATCGCGGACCATTTTAATTTCGATTAGCCATTGAATTTTTTATATCGCAAAATCTTACGTGTTCTTGTGCACACGCTTTTCCCTTCCGTGAAAATCTCGCGTCTCTCTATTATGAGACACTGAAGTTGATAGCGTGACTTGGCAAATTGCTCCTTCTTTTAATTAATGACTGTGTGCTTTTCTCATTTTGAGATTATCAAGTCCTCAATAGACAAGCAAGACTGACTGGAGGGCTTGAATAATACATCCGAGGTGTACTTCTTTCCGACATACAAACTGCATTTAAGTAATAAAAAAATCAGTTGAACCGACAAAGTACATTTATCGTACTTTTAGTTTTGAAAATATCTGATAATATTTAAAATTTTGAAGGAATTTTTAAGCAAATGTTAATATAAATTTTTAAGCTGTTTAGAAATAGCACTTTGATCACATTTTCAGCAAATTCCGTTACATCGTTTCGCTTCTTCTGTTTTAACAAAGATGCTGTTGTTAAAAATACATCTGCACGATGTCGTCCTGCAGTTTCGTTGCAACGTCGGCCACGATTTTCTGTGGTCGCTGCTTCCCTTCACTTGAAAGGATTGGAGCGAATGTCGTAATATATATTGCAATGATCAATAAATACCTATCTTGGTCTTCGTTTGCTCTCTTTCATAGTCTGTTGTTAGGATTTTTTAATAGAAACTTTATATATAGAAAAAAATTTCTTAGAATATGCTTAAATTTTCAAGCTATCTAAAATCACAATTTTAAAAATGAATATAAAATATTTAAATTAGCAACAAATTATTTTGTAAAAATTTATGGCAATGGTAAAAAAATTTTTTATTCAAATATCGTCTCCTTTTTGTTCACAATTTAGAGTAATATTTTTCTCACGACGTGGCTATCGTAAACGAATTATAAGTGCAAAGTACCGATGAATATATACGAGAGTCGAAAACACATATACACACATTTCCCAAAAGGGTATTAACGATCGAAAGTTCGCTAAGAACCTGGTGCTTTGACTTACGGGCAGCATCTGTCGTTTCTCAACTGACGCCCGCCGTGGAGCAGCAACTGGGGAATACGACTCCGCCTCATTCTATATATAGGACACCTGAAAAGTTCGCCGGACAAAGTCTAAGCCCTTGACGCTAATATGGATCTATGCTTCCTATCAGCGGAAAGATGCAAAAGTGCAGAGGTCAAAGTTATTAAAGGGAGTAAGTAGATAAAATTGCGTCCGTAAACTTTCGAAATCCTTCGCAATCTTCATCGTGCGAGGACTCTTGAAACCCCCGCGCGAATTTTACGTGAATGAAAATTTACGGTGTAAGAAGGCAAATCTCGTTCATTAAACAACGTCGCATCTGTGTCTTTCTACACATTGCAGTGTCCAGGAATGTCAATAATACATGCATTTCTCTCTCTCTCTCTCTCTTTCATGTCGCAATCTTGTATCATTCTATCGTTAATCTCACATACAAATAATTATTATATTGATGATCGATAGAGCGGACAGTGGCGGTCAGTAATGTTCGTGATCCGTGAGACTGATGGTGGTACCATTTGAAACTCTACCAATTTCGTGTGTGCAAACTGATTCCTAAACGAGAACACTTTGTAATTGCGTCAGCTTGTTTCAAAGGCTCGGCCGTCATTTACGAAAGCCGGGCTTGTGCACGTTCTCCACGTACTTTGTCCGTATTATGCCCGAGCATGATTTCAGGTTGGTCTTCCGGAGTGCCTCGATGCTCCGTTGCATACGGAGCGAAGGTTTGAAGGGCGGTCTGAATACGAATATCGTTCTATATAAAGACGATTGTTGTCTGACAATCGAAACCCTTTCCTATTATTAGCGTTGCGGTTTTTCTCGCATTGTCTATATTTTTTTCTCTACGTAACGTCTATGTTTCTCCTATCCATCAGGTGGTTGTTGGTGATAAAGAAGTCGGTTCTTTTGTCTCGCGACAGTCACACAACTATTTCCTTTGAGAAACAACGCTTTATCCAAGAATGTGGAAGCTCCCTCAAACGAGACTTTGGATTTAGTTGATTTAGTTTTAGGTTCATTTCGAGTGATCAAAGGCAGGGATTGAAAAGAACGTTAATGTGATGTTGCGGATGTATTGACTACACATGATCTTGTTTTAGAAAAATCGCGCGTGGTTTAATAATACAATAAATATATTTTCACATTCTCCTAACGCGAAAATCTATAAAACGTTTATTTGAAAATTTCAGTAAATAATAACGAAATGTATGGCATTTAATTCATTAATTTATTAAATAGTATTTTCAATCGGCGGAATTGATTGCGACAAAGTACGCATTTCTCGAAGTCAATAAGAAAGAATCGCGTGAATCGCTGGGCGAATATTACGTGCCGCACATCGTCGACATCGTAGTGACTTATCGGATTGACTTGTACGAGCTTGGTATCGATCGTTTCTCCGTGTTCGAAGTATCGGGACGTCAACGTTGATGACGACGTCGGTGTGTCATCGCCATCGCCATTGTCCGTCCTAGCTGGCGGCAGGCAGCGTCCTGGCTGCGCACTCGGCATCGTGATAAAGTAATCTGAATTAATTGGCCCCTAATTAATTAATGCAAATCACTGGCGCGGGCCGATCCGCCAAATTAATGGCCATTTACGCCCGAACACGTACAGCGCCGTGGCTCTCTTGAATCGTCGCACAATCAGGCAGCGAGATAGCTCGAGAGAATCTTCCTCCCATTCTTTTTTTTTTTTTACAAGTCGGAAGACAGTGCACACGTACGTACGAAATGTTCGGTGGACGAGGGGTGCTGGCGGGCGACGGGGAACCGGGCGGTGGAAAGGGGTTGAGCTCTTGACATATTGCTACCTAGGCAACTCAACGAAGTGCTCTCCAAGTTCTTCCCGCCTGCATCTATCTCTGCCGCCGTTTCTTCCCTCGCTTCCTTTCTCCCTTCATCTTTGTCGTTGTCTTTGCCGCGAGCTGTCAGTTCGCATCGCGATGCCGCGAGCGTCTCGTCAGTGGTTCACTTAAGCATCATATACGTGCGACGTCGATTGTGCGTCGAAAAATCGCTTCCTCCGTTTTGAGATAACGCTGAGGTAACCAATTCAAGTGTGCGCGATTCGCACTCTTCCGTTCTCCTCCAGCTGGCTCCGTTCTTGGAATTTTCCCTTCTGATTCCTCAACGCTCAGTTCGCTATCTGCAAAATGACACTGAAAGCTTTCCGATAATTTTTAAAGAAACATTTAACGAAACGTGCGAATCGGATCGAGAGAGACGTGTCCAAGTGTCTAAACGTTTCCGTATATCTTCTGTGAAAAAGAATAGAGCGTAGCTCCGTAATAAATTTTTGACGACGATAGCGGAATGTGTACGTAATGCAATTTTTATTTAATTGCAGAGGAGGTAGTTTCAATATGGCTCGTCGCATTTTCTATGAAAGCATTTTGTTTGACAATTCTATTAAGTGGCCGATTTTATTCAACGGCGCTGAGAATTAATAATTATTGCAGAAAGTTGTGCATACTTTTACACATAGCCGGGAAAGTAATTTGGTAACGAGAAATACTTTTATACATAGTGGATAAAGTAATTTGGTCGAGAAATTTGGTAACGATTGGCACACGAAATATATAACTATATTTAGAGAGTAAAATAAATAAAATTAAAAAAATGTACTTTTTGCAAAAATTTTCGTGCAATATTGCAGTGATTTTAAAAATCATCTGTTTGTTAAAAGTGTTTATTAAAACTGCATATATATTGCGTAATATTACTCACGTTACAACTAAAATTATTTGTTTTTTTAATGTAGAGTTTAATTTATAACAACTTGAAAAAGAAGAGAGAGAGAGAGAGAGAGAGAAAGAATGAAATTCATGATACCGAATTACGTGCCGGCACGAAGCATTTGGGTGAACAAGTAGGTTGACAAGCACTTAAATTACTTTCTTTGTTCTCGAAGGATTCATCGCCAAATTATAATAAAGTTTGCCATGTCTCGACGTTAATTTGCGCTTACAATCTGCGTCCTCGCAGCAATAATCGCGGTATTCTTCCTCGCGTATTTCGCAATGCGTCCTTTTGAAAGAGTAACGATATCGCCAATTCCACATTATTTGGTAGCGTCATTGATTCCCGTCGTGATTTTCTCAATGTGACGCAGGAACGGGCAGCAAAGTGTTATCGATGGGAGTCTGCATAGGCATTGTTTTGTAGTTTGCTGCTAAACGCTCCATCCATCACTCTCTATCTTGATGAAATATTCTACTAGTTCCTATTCACAGTGCAAACTGCTTGACTCGAGCGGTAGTTCGCTAATTGTGAACCCTCATTATATCCGATATATCAGTTGCGTCTAAGAGCGTTTACTTTGTATTGATAATTTGTTGATCAGTCTTATGTTAAATATTGGTCCAGATTTGTGTCACGCTATTCTTTTCTCGCAATTCGAACTTGCTGTGAAAGGTTTTTGAAACTCACAAGTCCCGTGACACGAATTTCCAAGTGATATAATTCCGAGTTCACTTTGTGTTGTTTTATTTAATAATATGATAATGTAAATGCAACGTTTAAAACAAACAGCGGGGTAAACAGCGGTAAAGTGTTTATAAAGAAAGATTCTCCTTTTTGCTAATAAGAGAGAGCGGATATAAGAGACTGTAGAAGAGTCGCGACTGCCCTCTAATTGTCTACGTATATACGTATTCTGCGAGCAGATTTCTTTTGTTACGCTTTTGCTTTACCTTTGGATCTGCTCAATTTAATTTAACGTTACTCAGATTCGCGTGGATTTGCATAAGAATATAGCCCGAGGCAATGGCCCGGTCCGGAGACGGGGACTTCGTTAAAGAGAAATTTACGATTTCTCTCTGTCTGCAAGACCGGCAAGATTTCGAGCCCTCCAGAGTGTAGCGCGCTCGGATACGATCGCGTTCTAAATGCTCGTCGCGCATTTATTCGGTCCGGAGCGATTCCCGTGTATTTTCAACTCCGCGTTTACACGAATCGCCTCGTCGCAGAAAAAAAAAAAAAAACAACGCTCGCTGCGAAACAGGATACATCGTCGCCCGGGTTACTCTCCGGTTGCGTGTCTTTCGCTTCTATAATCAATCTCACGCCACTTTATACATTCCAATTAGCTTGGTAACCGGCCGACTTCCTATAGGTAATTTCCTATTAATATCCTCGTCACTGGCCGCGCGCGGTGACCTGGATCGATGAGAGTTTTAAGATACTTTCTCCTTGTGGATATAAAATTTTGCGCATTCGTTTTCTAAATGATCGCTAATAATAAACCCGTGCCGCGCCGTCTAAAGCTCCTTCGAGTGTGTTCAAAAATATGCCTGCACAAAGCCGAACTATGAATAAACAATGATTGCTATTTTTATCGCTCGACACAGGACGGCCACTTTTCTGATTACAGGTGATATGGGTATGCATACTTTGCCGGAAGAAGCAGGAACTTCTTTCGAAGACCGGACAATGGATGACGAAGACGGGCCTCGGCGCCGTGGACAACGCGCTGTTGCGGCAAATGCAGGAGGACTTGCAGGTGGGTGGTCGTCAGGGACTCGCGGACCAAACTCGGGATAAAAGACCGAAACTCGAGAGGGCGCACAGCGCGGCTGAGAAAGAGAATTTGCCGTTATTACAGAGAAGCGGAAACTGTCCTCTCAGGAGACAGTACTCTCAGCAAGAGCAGGTAACGTTCCCCTTGCTCGCCCGATATTCTTGTCGGAACGCACTTTTTTATTTATGAAGCAGATAAGTTTTGCGCACACAGATGCTTTTACAATCATAAATATGTAGAATTGTGTCGGAGTTATGATAAGTTGACAATATTTCGCATCTGGCGAAATCGCACCGCGATTTATTTATTTACGAACGGCATGAGAAAAAGGTCGAAGCGTTTTCGTCGTAATCGGGAGATCAGCCCGCGCCCTCGCCAAGTATTGCACGTAGCACTCAGTGAGTTTCGCTTTGTGGTTGCAGATCTCGGGTCGCCGAATGTCCACGAGCGACAGTGGGGTGGAAATGTCCGTTTCGCCTCACGCGAGAACATTACCAACACCCCACATGGCGGTCGGCTCTTATCCGGTGCAAACTTCGAGACACCCTGCAGTCTACCCCGACGATGATCCCACTTTATACCGAAGCGAACTCGACGGTCTGATGAGACAACATCCGCAAAATTATCAGAGGCAACGGTCGACCTATCAGGTGAAAAAAATTCTCGATAACTTGCAATCGATTTTTCTCCAATTATTAAAGTCCATTCCCTCATACGCAATCGTATTGTATTCGACAAAATTGTATTACGCCGCATTTTATATAAAGTTTGCAAATTGAATCTTTGACGGAACGATAATAAGTATAAATTAATAAAATCAAACAAAGTATGTGCAATTTTTGGTGCAATATTTTGGAACTTTAAATTTTGTTAGAGATAAAAATGCCGTAATAAATTGTGATCAGATTTTCCGGTAAGAATTTAAAAAAAATCTTTTTGTTCCCTGAAATTATATTACTCTTTTGCTCTGACGAATTAATTAATAATGACTGTTGCCAAAAGTCTGAAACGTGCTGAATTTTCTAACGCTTTAATTATTTTACGCGATGCAGGAGAGTCAAGATCTCGGAATGACTTATGGCCAGACACCGATGGAATCCGCTTCCATTCGTACCACAATGCATCCCTCCCAGCAGCATTCGATGCACCAGACACAAGGCGGACGTCCCGCTCAACCTGCGTCAACGGTAGGCGTTCAGCAACAAAGAAGTTTCAGTAGTAGTGAAGAAGAGCGAAGCACACCGGAGTGCGCCAGTGACGAGCCAGACGAGTCGGAGAAGGGTAAGTGAATCCTCCAAGCTCAGTATTTATTTCTAACCATTAATACTCGTGATATAAATTTTATTCAGTTCTTTTTTTTATGAAGAAATTGACAACTCACTTGTGATTGATATAACAGGAAAAAGTTCTAATCCATCATTTACGTCATACACATTGCATAATTTGGATTACTCGACATTGTTTCGTTCGTACAAGCTACATCTGTCATCGGATATCTCTTACCTATTTACTGTATTAACTTTTTGACCAGTTGACGAAGTGAACCTTATACTGCGATAGTTTGTTGCGAATCTTAAAGTGGTGCATTCTGCAAAATTAAAAATGGCCAAATCGCCAACCAGATTTATTCTACAGTGCACGATGGAAACATAGCCGATTGGGAGGGTCGGCTTCGCCCTTGAAAGTCGATGCACGAGGAAAGCCTAGTCTTTCCGTGTCAATAGATATTTGGTTTACGAAGAACACGCGTACTCATACTACGATACCTACAGACAAGGCGGCTAAGGAAAGTGTAATCGATCGATCCAATGCTCGTGTGTTTGATCATAACAACGTATCTATAAAGTTTAATTATACCGATTAATTACACCGTATTAAATATTTAATGCAATTAAATCGGTCTGATGTATTCGTGCAGACGCAGGAAAAATTCAATTGCATATCACTCTTTGTCAATAGTATTTGTGTAATATCGTTAACAGACTTATTTCACGATTAAAATTAATTAAACAAACAAAGAGGATGCATACTGTGCGTTTTATGCATGGGCTCTACGTACTTTAAAAACGTACGATTTCAATAACAGCGCAGGATTAAATCGCGCTTCAATTACGCGAAATTTCGACAAAGAGATCGATTTCATTTTAATTGATTGCTAAAGCAGCTTGCAGCTCGCGATTGCTAAATTTCACGCGCGTGTCCTCGATGATATTTTTTTCCCGTCTCGTCTCGTCCGGCTCCAAAAATCGGAGGAGGGTGATAGAACCGTGTGTGTATGTGGTTTACAGTTGATTAAACGCGGGATCGGCGAACTGTGAACCGACTCATCCAGGTGCGCACCTGTGGGGTTAGCTCGCAGAGTACAGGAATAACTTGTACTCTGCCTGCCTCTTGTGTACCATTTTTTCCACGATGAAGGTCGAACACGTCGAGTTTCTGCGTCAATTACAATAAGAGGATTAAATCGTTTGTGGAAATTTCAATGTTTCAAATCATCGCATTAGTGGATACGGCAATGCGGATTGATAGTTTACCGTGTGAATATTTTTCCGAAATGCAGTTCTCTTAGAAAAATAAGTAAAATGCGTTTATAAAAATTGAAACGTAGCGCGCCCGAGTGAGCTAATAACATGCACGTTATTGACGCGCGAACTTTGCGGAGCAAAGCGGTGTAAAGGTAATCGAGATAGGATCGCGACGAATAACACGGTTGCATTTAATAATTTCTACGCGGATGCATTGTGCACGGTAACGCACGTGAAATGCCACGTTATATAACTTGATGCGCACGTATCGATTTTATAATGGCCAGCGCGCTCGGTGGCTCTTCCAGTTTTCCAGCGATCCTGCCGCGGAATAACGACTGGGCTTGACACGCGTGTGCACCCTCGAGTCGGGGAGGGGGGGGGGGGGCGGCCGGTCCGGCGGC